TAGGATTAGGGTTAGGTTAAGCATTAGGGTTAGGTTTAGGGTTAGGTTAAGCATTAGGGTTAGGTTTAGCGTTAGGTGAAGGATTAGGGTTAGGTTTAGGGTTAGGTTAAGCATTAGGGTTAGGTTTAGGGTTAGGTTAAGGGTTAGGATTAGGTTTAGGGTTAGGTTAAGGATTAGGGTTAGGGTTAGGTTAAGGGTTAGGTTTAGGGTTAGGTTTAGGATTAGGTTTAGGATTAGGTTTAGGGGGGTTAGGTTTAGGTTTAGGTGTTAATTTTAGGTTTAGAGTTTACAGCGTGCTTCTGTCTCCGCGCTGTTGTCGCCCTGTTGATGACGTCAGCGACATGGTTTAGTCGGGCGCGGTTTAGTCGAGCGCAGTTTTGTGGGTGAACCGGAGAGATCACATTCTTCTCTTGCCAATGCACAACGAGCTAAACTACGGTTTTGTATTATATGTGTGGGCATGCCAAGTGATGGGTGATAGCTATGATTAGTGCGCCTATACAACCTTTCTATACTCAGTTTACATATAGGGAGTAAAATACATATCATGATCAACATGATTTTTGCCATGTCAATATAGACTAAACATTGAAGCAGCAGCTTCAAATCTCTGCATCCCTACAATGGCCACAGGAAAATTGAATTTACGGTATTTGATTCTGCAAGGGAAAAATTAACTTCAGGGCTCTGCAGTTTTCCCTAAGTAGCAGAGAAGTGAAATTGACTGGCGTTTTGTCAATTTCTCCCTTCTATTTGGTAGGAAAGGAACGGCTGTAAAGTCACTGGGCCCTTAGCGGCCTATTTTTTTTTGGTGAAGTGCCAAGTGGATATGAGGAGATTATTGCTGCCGCAGAATCTGAAGTGCTTATTCTTGTCAGCATATCAAATTGGCGTAAAGAAAAGACAGTTGGTTTCTAAACTGCTTCTCAGGGTTGGAGCATGAAAGCAATGGCAGTGTGGGTGTCCCTGCGGAGCCGCCTTGAGCCATGCTCCATTCCATTCCATGGTGAGAACAAACGAACAGTAAATACATCGCATCTTCAGAGACAGTGACCTGCCCAAAAGCACCCAAGGAACATCGTTGGGCAGAGTGGTGGATCTTCCCCGTTCCCGACCCTGCTGTCACTGAAATATATTCCTTTGGGAATCTTTTCAAATTCCATCTTAGATTGAGAAGCATGAGCCAAAGACCCTCTCCGAAACTCTTGTATGAAAAATGAAGGCCATAATTTCTGAAACACGACTGTCTTTCGACAATCCCCCCCACCCACCCCCAAGAGTTCTGCTGTAAATTCTGGATTTTATGGCACACCCCATGAGTAAATACTTAGATCCCTAATATTCAGTCCTGGTTTTTATTCTGCAACTGAACTCTCTCTTATTCGTAGAGGTGATTCCACACGCATCCCTTCAACAAAGCCATTCCCCTCCTCCCCTTCCCACACAAGGCAAGCTACATTTGGGCTACTGTAGCACATAAGACCCCCTGCGAAGCTGTTTCCCCCTACCTGAGATTGCTGGGGGATGTTTAGAAAGTTGCCGTCCCGGGGTCCGATGCCGACAAACCGGTTGGCAGAGGAGGAGGAGCCTGCCGCTGAGAATGCTAGAGGGGAAAGAGATGTCAGGCCGTTAGGGCCACTGGGTGAGGCTGATGGCATTGATGGAAACGGGTGGGGGGGCATGCAGGCCCCCGTCAGGTGAGACTCAAGGTAGCAAAATCCAAAGGGGAAAAAAAAATATGGCCACCACCTTTTCCTCCCCAGAACGCCCTCTTGTCAATGAACACAGAAGAATGGAACAGCCAGGTCCTTAGTTGTCAGTGGGACGTCTTTTGAACGACGGTCAATACTTTCGTTTTTCTTTGAGATACAGGAATTTAAAGGATATTGACAGAAAAAAGCCAGCTTTGCTACAGGAGCAATCCCAACAACTCGATGGAGACTTCTATAAAAATCATACATAGCATCTCCTGGGCCTTTATTTGGGGGAAATTGCATTCTTTTATTATACAGGAGTGAGATGAATACTGGGGAGAACCTGGCTTTTGTTCCATAAACCTCATTTCTCTTGGGCATGTTATTTCTTTCTGGGTATAGATCCAAAGCCTTCATTTTTCTGGCCTAGTTTTCTCTGCACTCCTGGAGGAGGCTGGGGGGCTTCTGTGTTATAACCACTATTGGTAGACTCGGGCAGACCTCCTACCCATTTGTAGGAAAGATGGCATTCCAGAACATGCCCATGTATGGGCCTGCCAGGAGATGGAGTCTCTAGGTCTGCATGCCTCTCCTGGGCACAGCACTGAGTGCCAGAAATAACTAAGCTCAGCTCTTTGGTATTTAGTTTGTGGCAGAAGAAGGCAGAGCTCTAGATGAAGCTACACAAGGGGCAGGGAATGGATATGGAAGATTCCCTCGGCCCCAAGCTCATCTCTGATTTGGAAACCTGTCTGGGGCTGTGAAATATTGTAAATGTTATCTAGAGGTACTACAAGCCTCTGGTAATATATACACATACACAGAGAGGAGTACACGAAAAGAGCCAGGTATGGCATTTCACTTTTACACTACCAAGCCTTTGATCATAATAGTACTCAACACTTAAAGCTGATTTCTCCACTGCCCAAACTAATAGGACATTGATGGGAAGGCAGAAGCCCTTCTATGGTGAGTTTAAGACCTGACATCAGGATTTGGCTATAAGAATCAAATGGTTTTTGCTAGCCTGTAATCAATTTACATCACATACTCTCTGGTTCTCAATGGGACACTGGAAGCCTACGGACTAGATTTCTGTTGGTTGATCTCCAGCTACCAAAAGGGACGAAGAGGTGAGCTACACAAGAGATGAGGCCCACATGAGGAATCTGTTACTGGGCTGTTTCCAGGATGTTACTGGTTTATATTACTGGACAGGAGTTGAATTTTACTGGTCTCTGTTAAAAATGAACAAAATGGGCTTATGTAAGAAAGATATTTTAGACCTTTTCCTACATATAAGGAGGTTGTTGTTGTTTTTTTCCAAGAAGGGAGAGCATTCAAATATTTAATAAATTTGAGACAAACAATTATTCTTATTTATATTCATCATTAACACCAACACCTTACTGGCAATCTGATATAGCTCAGAGCAGCATTAATACTTTATACTGGTCCCTGCTGATCATGCATATCAGTTCTTAATGAGAGCTGGGGTTGAGTTTCAAACTTAGAAGCAGCTGCAGGACTCCATTTCCTTCTGAAACCTTTGTTAGCCATCTTATGAGAGTAGGAAGATGGCCATCAGCACATTAACAGCTCCATAATTTTCCTTGATGTCTATGGCTTGTCACCACCCCTTCCTTCTTATTCGCACTCCCTCCCGTAAATTATCGTAAATTCAATGAAGAGCATGAACAATGTGAGAGTGAGTAATGCCATGAGCACAGATGTAGAAAAGAAAAGCAAAAGAAAGGAGGGAAGGAGAAAAAGCAAAAAAAGAAAATGACACTGTAGCCAATCCTTATCTCCAAAGGGACTCTTTGAAGCCAAGAAAGACGGTCGTAATTACTTCATTGGAGCTCCAGAAGTTTTAACTTCCACCCCATTTTTAATCAATCTGGTAGGATTCCCATTTCTAGGATGGAGATAGGCTTCAAATTGCATAATGCCACCACACTTCACCAGGAGATACCCGCCTTTCTAAAAGAGGGAACGGAAGATCTAGATTTCTGATCTACCCACTCCCACTCAAATGTCTGGGTTCTATTTATCATCAAACATCAAGGCCATTTTCTGGAACTTCTGTTTCCCAATGTCTCTTCCTTCTCCCTTCCTTCCATCAGATTACCTTTCCTGAGAAAGCACAGACCACAATTTGGGGTGATGGGAGAAAGCCTACTATGGATCTTAGTGAGAATTTATATTCGAAGCATCATTAATATCCATAAACACAACTCTTCCTCNGAAGCGGTATATAAGTCTAACTGCTATTGCTATTGCTAACTGGTAGGCATTAGTAAGAAAAACAGGATCGGAGAGAGGTCAGTTGAGTTATTTCTTTCATATGCATGGTTCTTTTCACTCAATAATTTCTGCCCATCCTACCCTATTTATCAATTAATGGTCTATGGAGTCAAATATCATATCAGCCCCATTCTTTATCCTCTTTCTTGCACTATATACAGTCTGCCATTTGCTGACTTGATGCAAAATAATTTCATTACAAAGGTAGTGTGATTTGTGGACTACTTGCCATTTGGGGGGTTTAAGTTTTCGGATGTAGTTGCACTATAATGTGTATAATTAGTTATGCGTCATTCCCTGGGCAATGCCACACTCCCATTGATTTGAGCTGATTTATAGCACTGGAAGAAGCTGACCATCTAATGAGAAATCTACTGGACTCTCCATCCACACTGGAGCTAGCACTGCCTTACCCTCTAAGCCAAATCAGGGTAGTGCTGGCTTCTGCATGCACTGTTGGCATTAAATGAATATTTAACGACAATAATAAGAACAGGGTGTCTAGAAGCAAAGGTCCGTTGCACCTCATGGGACCTGCAGCTGTTCCTATGGGCAACAGCCAGAAGCCACAGCTGAGAGAGAGGGGGGGGGGAACTGGCAGCCCCTGTGCTTCTCTCCTTCATCTCTCGCTCTTGCTCAATTCTGTCTGTCTTTTTCTTCCTCTCTTTTGTCTTCCTCCATCTGCCTGGATCCAGAGTTCAGAAAAGTCATTGGTTACTGTGGTAACATCTGCCCTCCCCTTGCCTTCCCCTAATAATACTGCAGCCCAGCCAATGGAGCAGGGAATACTTCCCCCCCCCACCCCACCCTCTGTACACACACAAAACATACATGCACACATGAAAGGGCTCTTGGCAAAGCTTGGAGCCCACCTGGCAGAGCTTTGGCTGCAGAATATCTCAATGCGCCCCAATCATCTTATGTATGATAGGTCAGAGCAACTTCTTCCCACCAGCCGAATGACATTCTGAGATGGAAAGAAGCACATAGAGAAAGTAACGGGAGTACATTTGCAGACACGAGGGGAGAGGAAGGGGGGGGCGGGGAAGGAGAGCAGAAGAAGAAATGAACAGTGAAGCAGAAAAAGGAGAAAGCAAGAAGTAGGGAAACTGCTAGCGGAAGTGCCCCTGCTAGTTCTGCGGCCGTGCTGGGCCCTGATCCAGCCTCACTCCGGACCATTGTTCCCCTGGCAGGCCCCCCCCCCCCCCAAGTCCAAGTTCATCTGGGTGTGACATCATGTCTGGTTGCTCAGGGAAACCAGACGGGCCCGACGTGACACTGGTTATGGGCTGAGCAAGGGGAGCAAAATCCCGTTCCTGTTCTGCTCTGCTCCTTCATTCACCACCAGGGAGCAATGGAGGCTAGGAAGGAAAGACGGATCACGCTGAGAGCTGCCTTATGTGGGACGGGAGGGATGGGGGGGAAAAATCATGTTGGAATGTTCCCTCCCCGTGGCATTCAACTTTTCTTTGCTGCTTTAACCTTCATACCATCAAGATTTTCCCTTCTAGCTGTGGCACTGGCACGATTAAAATTGCCCTAACTAATATAACAACCCAGACTTTTTATTCATTGTGCAATCAAATGCAATTATTATTTAATCATTATAAGGTATTCTCTGCTGCACAGAAACTACAGATATGCAGGTCCTTCCTTCCTTCCTTCCTTCCTTCCTTCCTTCCTTCCTTCCTTCCTTCCTTCCTCCCTCCTCGCCCTGCCTTTTTCTACTCTGCTGAGAGTGGATGGTATGCTCTGCAACAGGAGTGCCAATGGCACACTTCATGGCAACCAACCATAATATCACTGGTGCTGCGCCACACGCTCCTTCTCCCACCCATGTAAGTTTGAAAAGAGGGTCACCTTTCCCACCCCTACATTGTGCATTCTCTAAGCAACTTTATCTCATTGCAGAGCTAGCGCAGCCTATTAAAAATCAGGAGAACAAACAGCCCAGTTCTTCATTTCTTGCAAGCATTTTTATGAACTATTCCCCCCTCCTCCTCTAGATGTTTATTCCTCTCCCGTGTGTCTGTCAGGTTATATTGTTTCCCTTGTACAAGTAAATACCATGTAGAGAAAGTTGGGATTTCTAGTTGCAGTGATTACACATGACAAAAACTGTGCCCCATAATCTCATTTTGCATTTTAAACCGCAAAAAAATCAAAACCCTCCTTTTGTTCGCTAAAGGATCGTATGAGTAACGGTGGAGCAAAGCTTCCCGGGCAGTCAGAAGTTGGTTTCAGGAATGGATTTCTGATCAAACGCTAACCTAGGAAGTCTGAAAGCTGGTAAGTTGATCTTCCAGTGCTCAGCACAGTTGTCACACTGAGTGGAATAGTTTGTTAGAGAAAGGTTTAATCTAAATGGCTACACAATTCTAGACTTGGAATTGGCCACTCTTCACCCTCATTTTTGCCGCAGAGAAAGGTCCAAATTTATATCCCACCACTCGATTCCTTTCTAGGAACTTCTCTTGGACACAATAAGGATGTGACTTGAAGCTTCTGTGGCTGCTGATATCAACAAAGAGGCATGGCAACCAGATTCCTTCTTTCTTTGTTTTCAAATGATATTATTTTTTTGGAATAACCTTTTACTACAGGCTACTATCTCCATCTCCATCTCTCTATCACTTCCATGGTGGTTCTCTTGTAAGTATGCAACTACTTTGCACAGTAATTTAGAGGATCACTTAGTTGCTAGCCCACTGCCTCCAGCTTCTTATTCTATGGCTTTATAATTCCAGTGGGAGGTACCAAGAAACCTGCCAGATTATTCCCTTTTTATTCCCAGAAGGACATAGATTGGTGGAACTGAGAGAAAACATAATAAACCAAAGTGTGTGGTAGGGGCAGGAAGGCTTTACAATTGGAAAGTGGGAGTCTTATTTATTTATTTATTTACTAGACTTATATACCGCTTCATAGGGCTTTCAGCCCTCTCTAAGCGGTTTACAGAGTCAGCATATNCTTCAAGTTGCCAAGGTTGAGAAACACTGTTCTATGCTGTTTCTTTTCCTTCCCATCCTAGATCAGCAGCTATCTTCTCTCTCTGCTGGAATTGTCCCAAAAGCAGCTAGGAGATAATAAAAAAATGGTTCCTTCTTCCAGCCTAGCCAGGATTGGGAGAAAAGCTGACACACTATTGCATGAAATTTCTTCAGGCATGACATAAATTTCTCTGGTCTCTGGAAATTCAAAGTCACTTCTGATTTGAAAAGCCAAGGGAGGGACACAATTTGCCCTCTAATGGCAAAGAGGGATGGAGCAGAAGCCACACTGTGGACACACGTGCCATCTGAATATGGAGACAACAGTGATGGGGCAGCAAATGAAGGAGGCAGGAAGAAGTGGCTGGATTTAAATAATTCAAATTTTCCAGAGGAGGAGGAGGGGGGGGGGGAACAGCATTGAAAATGGCCACCAGGAGGGGCTGTATGTCCACTGTTGGGAAGATTGGACTTCTTCCATTCTCCAGCTTCCAGTCTCTCTGTTCCACACACACACACCCTTCCGTCTCGGTTTTGCTTCTCTTAGGCACTGAACCAGAGGCTGGCATCACAGACTGAAGCTTTCTCTTCGGGATGCAATATCCTGCGGTAACCGTGCCTGTTTGAAATCCCCCCAGGCCTCAACAGATTTAGTGTAGCAGGTACAGGAAGTGCCAACCTCACACGCTACATTTTTCAAAACCTGATGGACAGCAGATGCTCTTTAATTATCAATCTCTCAATGGAGACTTTACTTTCTTCTCAGAGCAAATGTTTCCTTCTAGTCCCCCCTTCACACGTCTCTCTCTCTCTCGCCCTTCTCTAGGATCAACTTTCTAAGTCCAGAATCTCCTCTCAAGACATACATTATTAGACATGGCTCTACTAAGATTGCTCTGGAAAAGAGAGGAGAAAGTAGGCATTTTACAAAGTTTGGCCCAGTTGATGAAAATCATACAGCTAAGACAAGCAGTGAAATATATTTGCCAGGTCCAGGTCCATTCTGTCCGCAATGAAAATACCATCCCTGCTTTGCTCAGGTTGGATATTGCACCCAAATTCCTGCTTTCCAAAGTTTATTTATTCAAGTAGGCACTGCTCCTTTTCACAATGCCTGTTTTCTCCAGCTCTTTTCGTTCCATATTTTCTCTCCCGTTCAGTCAATTGATATTCTTTGAATAAAATGAAGAAGTCAATTCCTACACCCAAGTAAATCCATGCCAGCCAATCAGATTCTTGACCACTGCTTATCATCATTAATTGCAGCCAATCAAATGAATTTCCCCCTAATATAAAGCTACCAACGGAAAGAGGTGTGGCAGTGATGTGAATTATATGGCAATGGTCAAATTACAGAATTAGAAATAGCCACCATTACCGTCACCAGCCCCCAATATCTTCTAGTAGCGGAGTCAGTCATACAAATGAGAGATTTGGAAACAGTCAAAAGAAAAATAGCTCATTGACTGTTTCTGCTCCCTGATTGGTTGGAATCAGAGACTATATGCCTGGGAAACCAATCAGAATGTCGTTCTTCAGTAGCAAGCCACTCAGGAGTTGTCACTCCACTATGACAACATCCACTTGGCACTGAGGAATGAATCCAGATGTCCCTTCACATCAGAGCATCATTCAAATGCCTTGAGTTAATTTCTAGAGCTGCCTGTTATATCAGCCTACAACATACCTAATCTACTCTTGCCTCAAGTAAGACAGCATCAAAACAAGCTATACAGCATCCATTCGGATCTGTGAACCTTAAATGAATGTTGTTGGGTTATTCATGGACATCTGCCTTACAATCCCCCGAGCAACACTGAGTTATATCCTCTTGCTCCATACTGCTCTTAATCAAAAGGTTCCATTTCTTCCACATACTATGCACGAATTTTGTCTTTTAGATTAAATATTCCAGATATATTGTTAGCAGAAACACAAGCTGAAGAGATAATTTTTATTGATGAATATATTATATCCCCAAATTTCAGTTCATGGTCACCATGAAGAGCCAAGGTGGTGCAGTGGTTAAATGCAGCACTGCAGGCTACTGCTAGATCAGCAGTTCAGCGGTTCAAATCTCACCGGCTCAGGGTTGACTCAGCCTTCCATCCTTCCGAGGTGGGTAAAATGAGGACCCGGATTGTTGGGGGCAATATGCTGACTCTCTGTAAACCGCTTAGAGAGGCCTGAAAGGCCTATGAAGCGGTATATAAGTCTACTGCTATTATTGCTATTGCTATTACCAGGGAAAGGGATAATATAAACTCTCACTCTCTTGCTCATTTGGTCAGTTAGACTTATATACTGCTTCATAGGGCTTTCAGCCCTCTCTAAGCGGTTTACAGAGTCAGCATATTGCCCCCAACAACAATCCGGGTCCTCATTTTACCCACCTCGGAAGGATGGAAGGCTGAGTCAACCCTGAGCCGGTGAGATTTGAACAGCCGAACTGCAGAACTGCAGTCAGCTGAAGTAGCCTGCAGTGCTGCATTTAATCACTGCGCCACCTCGGCTCTTGGCTATTCTTTCAGTTTGGTGTCATGTGCAGATTTGATGAGTTCCCCTTCTATTCCCTCATCTAAATCATTTATAAAGATTACCACATCTTCAGTGAGTACTGGGTCCAAAACAGAACCTTGGAGTACTTACATGTAGATGCAGTTTCATTAAATACTTACCTACTGAGTACAGTTTGTCAACCAGTTATGCTGTCTATCACACATTTTTCTAACTTACTAAGAAGTAGGTTGTGTTCTACTTTGTCAAATACCTTATTGAAATGGAACATACTGTCCATAGCATTTCACTGAATTTAGAAATTAGTGCACTAATTTAGAATTAGTATCAATTCTAATGTATAAATTTAATATATTCTCATTTAGAAATTAGAATTTAGAAATCAGTGAACCAGTTAATTTAGAAACTTCTTTCATTTGTATATCATCATTAGAAACCAATGCTCAGGGACAGTCAATTAACTTACCGATGAAACTGAAATAAGTTCCTCGTGATTTGTTGCTGTTATTAAAATTGATATGGTGCTCAACCCCTAGTGATTTTGAAAAGGACTCCACCCCCTACTTTCTTTACTGCAGATTCTGGATGTTGAGACTCTAGAAAGCGTGCAGAGAAGAGCAATCAAGGTGATTATAGCAGTTAGACTTATATACAGCTTCATAGTGCTTTTACAGCCCTGTCTAAGCGGTTTACAGAGTCAGCATATCGCCCCCACAGTCTGGGTCCTCATTTTACCCACCTTGGAAGGATGGAAGGCTGAGTCAACACTGAGGCGGTGAAATTTGAACAGCCGAACTGCAGATAACAGCCAGCTGAAGTGGCCTGCAGTGCTGCACACTCTAAGCACTGCGCCACCTCGGCTCTATTAGGGGACCGGAGGCTAAAACATACGATGAACAGTTGCAGGAACTGGGCATGGCTAGCATAGTGAAAAGAAGGACCAGGGGAGACATGATAGCAGTCTTCCAATATTTGAGGAACTGCCACAGAGAGGAAGGGGTCAAGCTATTTTCCAAAGCACCTGAAGGCCACACAAGAAATAATGGATGGAAACTGAACAAGGAGAGATTCAACCTGGAAATAAAGTTTCTGACAGTGAGAACTATTAACCAATGGAACAGCCTGCCTTTGGAAGTTGTGGGAGCTTCATCACTGGAAGCTTTCAAGAAGAGACTGGACTGCCATCTATCAGAAATGGTGTAGGGTCTGCTGGGCAGGGGTTGGGACGAACTAGATAACCTACAAGGTCCCCTCCAACTATGTAAATCTGTATGTTTCTGTATGTATGTATTCTGTATCTGTATCCTCTNGAAACAGGTACAGCATTGTTACATGATTTATATATTACCAACCCAACCGTTAGATTATATTCGTAACAAAGCCTATGGAGCCTGGGGAGGGTGAAAAAAGCATGCCAAAAATGGGCGGGCGTGCTGGTCATGCGCGCATGCATACTGGGGTCATGTGTGGGCGTGCCACACTCAATGCAATGCGCACGACCCCAGCACGCGTGCTTGCATAACCAGCACTTTCCCCCTCCCCCCTGTTTTTGGCGTGCTTTTTTCACCCTCCCCAGGCTCCAGAGACTTTATAGGAGCCAGGGGAGGGCGAAAACAGCCTCTGGACACAAACCCATGCACGACTCCCCAGCGCTCCCTCCGCTTTTGGCACATGAGTCAAAAAAGGTTCTCCATCACTGGTATAAATCAATCCAGCAGGATTAAACTGTATCTCCAGTGAGTCATTCTTCTCCTTGTGTTGCACCATTATTAGTGGAGATGCATGTGAGAAATTACACATGAGAAAGGAGTAAAGGAGACACAACTTACTAGCAAACATAGCTGAACCTTTAAGCAAAGACAGTGCAGAGAGCCTGTACTAATTTTCTATCTGTATTATTAATCGCAAAAGATAATTAGACACACACAATCTAAGATCAATCCTTTTCTGTGAGACGGAATATAATGGTTTAAATCAGTATTTCTCAACCTTGGCCACTTGAAGATGTCTGGACTTCAACTCCCAGAATTCCCCAGCCAGCGAGTTGAAGTCCAGACATCTTCAAGTGGCCAAGGTTGAGAAACACTGGTTTAAATCTTTCTCCAGCCTCCTTTCTTAATTGAGGCTATATTGCTTCTAACGCAGGCATTTAATGCCCTGTTATTGTTTATGTGAAATGTTTTCCCTTTTGTTTGGTTAACGGGTGTACAGGGAGGAGCTGAAAGTGACTTGAACTATTCTCAGTTTTTACCCCAATCTTCATCCAAAAACACTGAGAATTTTTTTTTGAGATCAGTTGCAATTGGATGGTCCCTATTTCTGTCTAATAAATGTCACGAAAGGAAAAAAAAAAGGGAATGATGTGGAAAGAGGAGAAAATGCACATCCAGGGACCAAAGAGAATTAGAAAATTTTTATAACAAACAGCTTAAAAAGAAAATTTTAAAGGGAATGGATGGCCCTGCAGCCTCCTCCTGCCCCCCCCCTTTGCTTTTGCTGCTGCTGCTGCTAACATCTTAAGGGGACCAGAAATTCCAATTTCCAATTTATTAGCATTTGTATAGCGCCCATTCCCTTGGGACTCCGGGCAGCTTACAGGCAAGACAAACATATATTAAAAAATTTAAAATAAAATACAAGTGTTAAAAATATCAACAACATGCATACAGTTGGAGTGGGACTGGATACTAATCAACAGCTCCAGGCCTGCCAAAACAGCCAGGTCTTTGTGGCTTTACGGAAGGCCGGAAGAGTGGTGAGGGTCCGGATCTCTATGGGGAGGTTGTTCCATAGGGCCGGAGCAGCTACAGAGGAGGCCCTTCCCCGGGGACCCGCCAACCGACATTGACC